GAATTCGCAGCAATACAGGAGGTAAAAATACAGCCTCCTGTCTCTCATGCAAAGCACTCAACAATAGCTTAAGTGGATCCTGGGATCAGTGGATCCAAGATGTTTCTATACCTAAGCCCATTCAACCACAGTGCTTGTCCCCCAATAAACCTCCATGTCCAGTCTAACCCTACTTGTGTTCCTTAGACTGACTTGCATCAAATATAATCTCATATAAGAGTAGTTGAAGTTGGACTAAAATAATACAGCAGTAAAAGGTAGATTTTAGAAAAAATCTAAAATGGGCAATACCTTTAACAGGCCAATCAAAATGGCACAAAATAGGGCTCAAATTTTGAGTTTCCTTGAATTCTTCAGGGACCAGGCGAGCTTTAAAAGTCCACATGTCAGCAAAGAGAAGGTTCAGTGTAATCTCTGGTCACAAATTCCTGTTCTAAGATTACTCATCATTTTATTCCTCAGTAGCACTCACTCAAGGCAGTATAAGGGGAATAGTCTGTAGCAAAAGGCGCACAGGCGTGTTGTTGAATAACTGACCCAGTTGAGAGAGATTGCCATTATTGTGATTCATATATTTAAGAGCAAAAAGAAGAAGATAAGTTTTTCTAATGAATAAGGTCAATAACAAAATCCTTCATTAATGAACAATTGTCGACAGAAAAATAACAATTCAGTAACTGCCCTTATTAATAGTTCCTTTGTGTTTCAAACTTCCATGCAAATAAGGATCTGGTAACCAGTAACCCACTTCAGCACTGTAGAAATCAAAGGTCTGAAACTCACAAACATTCAGTATTACCGTGAATGATCTTTGGGGAGAAGGTCACATTCATCCCTAAAATGAGTAATTTTACCTTAATATTGAAGAGACATTTTATTAAGGTCACCTGTGCCTTATCACTTTAATTAAGAGAGCCTTTTTAATTAACTTTTAACAAGCATGTCATCCAAACTATAATAATCAAATCTTTCATTTTCATGCAAAGTAAAGCACTATATTTGCAAAGTTCTTCCCCTTCCCCCATCCTGGGCACAATGTCTTTCTCCAGACACAAAAAGGAAATCACAGCAACAACAAAAAACAATACTGTCTTTACAGTAACACTGACATTTCAAGTTCAAAGCATCCTTCTTCAAGCTTCCCTTCCTAATGTCTCATAAGCATTACAAAAGAAAAGACTCTCCAGATTCATCAAAACTAATATTGTTAGTGACTGACCAAATTTCCTTTGCCTAAGCAGATTATTGTACAGTGGCTAATGGCCCTGAATGGGTGGGTTGAAATTTTCTCAATGGGAGCAAATAGTTGGGAAAAGAAAGGGCTATAGTTCAGTGATAGATAACATGCCTTGCCTGCAAAACGTTCCAGCTTCAATATCTAGGAAAGGCAACAAAGTGAGCTCCTGGCTCCAAGTGGTTTACAAGCCCCGAGTTGCTACAGTTTACTGCAACAGGGCTGCACAGATGTAATGGCAGAGCCAGTGTGGGATTCCTGCTGGTGCATCTGTGCAGCCCCAACACATCACTACTACTGTCCTGCCCCTGAAACAGATAAACTATAGTGGTGCCTGTGTCAGGAGTGGTCCCTGTGTCAGGAGGTTGGCCAATCAAAACATAGGCGTTCAAAGCATTTCACATCCTAGGTAAAGGTAAAGGGAACCCTGACCATTAGGTCCACTAGTGGCCGACTCTGGGGTTGCGGCACTCATCTGGCTTTATTGGCCGAGGGAGCCAGCGTACAGCTTCCAGGTCATGTGGCCAGCATGACTAAGCTGCTTCTGGCGAACCAGAGCAGCGCATGTAAATGGCGTTTGCCTTCCCGCCGGAGCGGTACCTATTGATCTACTTGCACTTTGACATGCTTTCGATCTGCTAGGTTGGCAGGAGCAGGGACTGAGCAACAGGAGCTCACCCCGTCGTGGGGATTTGAACCGCCGACCTTCTGATCGGCAAGTCCTAGGCTCTGTGGTTTAACCCACAGCACGACCCGTGTCCCAATATCCTTTTAAATGTGCTTGTGGGAGAGGAAGGTAAGTAAAGGTAAAGGTACCCCTGCCCGTACGGGCCAGTCTTGCCAGACTCTGGGGTTGTGCGCCCATCGCACTCAAGAGGCCGGGGGCCAGCGCTGTCCAAAGACACTTCCGGGTCACGTGGCCAGCGTGACATCGCTGCTCTGGCGAGCCAGAGCCGCACACGGAAACGCCGTTTACCTTCCCGCTAGAAAGCGGTCCCTATTTATCTACTTGCACCCCAGGGTGCTTTCGAACTGCTAGGTTGGCAGGCGTGGGAGAGGAAGGTTATTACAAAATCATAGAATTGAAGAGCTGGAAGGGATCATGAGGATGATCTATTGGTTTGTTTTTGCTGTTTTATATTGTATTTTTATGCTGTGAACTGCCCTGAGATCTTCGGAGAAAGGGTAGTATACAACTTTTAATAACAATAACAGCAATAACAATAATAAAATCGCCTTACTGTACTTTTTGCAACAACCTTGTAAGGTAGGTCAGTATTATTACCTCTGCATTGCAGAGAGGGTCTGAGGCTCAGAGACATATTGGCTTTTAAAAAGATGGTATGTTCATGGCAGTGGCAAGACTCAAGCAAGAGATCTTCATTTGAAGCTCAGTCTCATAAGACATGCAACACAAGATCTCTTATTGATTCATCACTCTGGTTGATGACTAATAACACGGGGAGAAATTCAACATTGTTCTGATTTGATCATTCTGCATGCACAAGCATTTCTACTTCCCAGACAAAACAACACCCCCTTTTCTGCTGTTCTGGAGGAGGATTTGGAGGAAGTACTTGTACCTGGCCTGTTGCATTTGCTATTGCTTGCTGCCGCGTAGTACACCAAACCTCCCAAGTTGTGATTTGGAGGCTCCGTATGATGGAAGTCTTTAGAGCTTACACTGAAGCACTTGATTTTTCTTACTTATCTTGCATTTCTTATCTAGAGACTTCTCGCAGATTCCACAGGCAGCTTGAAAAGTCCGTAAAACCATAAAAAATTGTTCTTGGCTCAGGAAATTCACCCACTTTGAACCACATCATTACTTTGTGATGATGAACACTTAAGACAAACTTTTGTTTAGCAGTAATGTACAGAGCCTAAACCTCTCACCTGCGAGCTTGAGCCATTCTATACAAAACAAGCACTCCTCCTTGTGGCAATCTGGAGTAATGAAGAAGAGGACGGTCACGTTCTGAGTCTTGTCATTTAGCAGGGCTTTCTTCCAAAATGAATAGCTACAAGTCAAACACTCTTCCCTCCCATCTGTAGTCAAGTACAAATATCACTAGGATGGTGTTTGGATTTTCAGACAGCCCTGCCCTACTTCCCCCACATGTGTTCCTACAAAAAACAGTGGTGTATTTTAAAGTAGAGCCGCTGTTTTGCAGACACATAATGGCAATGATTCACCAGTAGGTTATTTGAGAACAAAATTTTATTTGTGTACATTTTAGAAGTTTTTTTTTTACAATTTGCTGCTCCGTGGAATTATACCGTTTTTTTCTAGTTGCAGAAAATTGGGGGGGGGGGTTGGAGAGAAAAACACTGCATTCATGGCATCAGTAAGAGTGACAAAAGGAATCAATCCCAATTGTTTAAACGACACGATTAAACCCCAAATTCAATATTGGTAGCACATTTTTTAAAAATAAAAAATACAGTTGTTTCAGTTTTCAAACAGATAGCAGAATACATAGCAAGAAAACACACTCACTTTTGATTAATATTCGTAAAATTCAAACACCGCAATATCTCTACAATGAGGATTCTTATCTAATGACTAACTTTACGAAAGGACTTTCTAAAAGGTTTTGTTGGTAACACTTCAGGTCATTTGATACTACGTTGGCTTATTTGATAGCATACAGACAGGATCAACATACATAGATCCATTACCCCCAGCACATTGAAGTGCAGTAAATGTCACAATCGAAGCATGTGAAGCATTCTGCACACAAACTATGGTTATACAGGTTTCCTATCTGAGCATTTGAAGAAGTCCTTTGTGCACCCATCCATCTTCAGGCTTCCTTTAACTCAGGCCTGAATTTAGTTCCACTGAATCCCTTTTTGTCTTCCTGCTGTAGCAGACAATCACTACAAATAGATTACCTTTCCTTTTTGGGAGAGAGAAGTCCAAGAACACAGAATGCTTATAAACACCAGGTTCATCCCCACTTCCAGGAAATGCTCACCAGCTAGCTAGCTACCAACAAGAAGGATCCCAGCTCCCATATTCACTATTTTAGGCCATAAGTATGTCTACTAAGGCATAAGCAAATCGCAGAGTTGTCCTTCACAGCAGAAGGGAGAGGAATAGATTTTCCAATTTTCAAAGATGTATATAGAATGATTTCTGTGCGGGAAGTGGGGAATTGACGATGATTTTGATCAGCTTTAGTGATTGTTACTACAAGTAGGAGCAGTATGTTAATTTATAACAGTGGTTCAAACTATGGTCATAAGGAACCAAGAGTTCCATAGATGCTTATTAAGGGATCTTCAGTAAAACTAAACAAAACTGGTAACAATGGATCAGGAGAGGGTTTCCTGGAATGTGTGTCCTGCATGGAGTACTCAGTCTGCAAGGAGTAACAGCTGGGCTGCAACAGACCTTCCTAAAGTCCTTTGTGAGTGCACACCAAAATACTCCCCAGAATCCTGTGCAACAAGCAGATTCTATGGCAGATATACAGGGCTCTCTTTGCACACAATCAAGGTTTCCCTGTGGGGGAAGTAACTGAAAAGCCAATTCTCTAGACTAAGACTATGTGTTGGTCTGTACACGCTCTGAGAAAAGTTGGCCGTGATTGCCCCCACAAAGTAGCTGCACATTTCAAAGTTTTTGCACTAATCTCAATAACATGGTGTATTTTAATGCAAAAATCTCATCCTAATACCGCACATTTTCACTTAGGCTTTCTACTTCTTGAGAACACCAGTGAAGTCAAAGCACAAATGTTCAGCTGGCCAAAGTCAATTGCAGTTCCTTAATTATATTTTAATGAAAAGACAAAATATATCACAAAAAGCTATTCTGTGAGAGAGAGACAAAAATAGGAAAAATAATAGTTGTAAACATAGTTAAAATGGTAGCTTATGAAGCAACCATCACAAGAAACCTTAATGAGTGCACTAATAAGTATGCATCATCACATTTCCCAGATCCTATTCAATGGACATTTTAAGAAAAGAAAAAAAGAATAATAACCCCACAGATTTATGTAACCAGCCCCATATTTTTATGCCATTTTTAAATTAAAGAAATGTGCAATTAGAACAGTTGTGCAAGCATTTCAGTATGTTTTTGTTATCCAAATTAATCAAGTTATTAAAAACTCATTTCTGCCACCAGCAACACATTAAATTTAAACAATACAGATCTAGTATGCTTTTATATTGGTCAAACCATATCAAACGTATAATTGAGTCGAAATGTCCAAGTTATACAATTTTAGCGGAAAATATAACCATAAGAATTTCCCCTCCAACCTATCTCAAAACCTACACTTAAAATCACTGAATAAATAATTTTGTTACAAAGCTTCTAGATTAATTTTATCATGCAGCTAGAGTTGTGTGGCAAGTGAATGTTACCATAATAGCTGCTTTCAAATATCTGATTTCTTAACCCTTGTGGGTACTGCAAATACAAAATGCCCATATTACTTGCAAATACACAGACACCTAAATGTGTGCAGCATCTACATAATCTGAATCCTCAGCCCTAAATGCACTAGGCTTGACCCAACTTAAGTTAAGCTGCAGTCCTAACCCTCTGAGATGGTATGTATTTGCCTGGTTTTGCTGTGATGGAGGCGTCTGCTGTGCTCAGGGGGATAGACAGTGCAAAACTTGCAAAATGGGATTATCAGGATGGATTCTGCAGGAGCTGTTAAGGATTGCTCTGCTGATTGCATTCTCCCATTAAAATCAATGGGATTAAAATTAATCATGACTAAACTTTTCAAATTGATTTCAGTGGGACCTAAGTGCAACATAGATTGAATCCAACCCACCGATTATAAACTATAACGTACGTGATTTCCAGATACTGTTGTTCTTCATTATCTTTGGAAAAGGAGCTGTCCCTCTTGCCACACTTGCACACACTCTGCATACTGTGTGGTTCCTTTTCTCAGAGGCTTTGCCTTCAAGCATGTGTGGGATACAGGGAGCACCAAAATGTGAAAGCAACGGGACAACTTCCAAGTAGTGTGGTTAATATTGGGGTGCCTCATGAGGGTCTTTGCTTTATTAGCAACCAAATAAACAAGAACTATTTAATACAAAGGGGATACTCTGTTTAAAACTGTTGCTTACAGCAATTGCCTGTCATTCAAAACAGCAAATATATATTTTTTTAAAAACCACATATTATTTCCCCATATTTGGTCCAAAACGAAAAGAAAAAGAAACTGAAAATAAATTCAACAGGCCCTCTTATTTATATTTACAATTTCAGTATGCGGGATTCTAAAAAATAACATGGCTTTGGGCAGTAAGAAAAGAAAAATTAAGGGGATCACCAGATGCTTTCTGAAAAAAGCTAGGATTAGCATTTAATTACTATTTTTGTTCTGCAATTAGGGTTCTTTACCAGTTGCAAATCTTTTTGACTGTATCTATCTTAATGACAAGCCACATCTAATTCTAACTCATATTTTAAACCAGGTTTAACCATTTTTAAACTGTTTAAAAAGGCATATTTTATCACCATTATAAAATGAACTATAGTAGCAGCTCTTAAAGCAAGATTCAAGCAAGTTTGAAAACAGTGTTCAAGTAGAGAACTAGCCTTCTTTATCAAAGATCTTCACAACTTTGCCAAAAACCTGCAAAAGAAAAGACATTACATAATTTTTCTACATTATACCAACAAGCACGTTTCATGAATACTGCAAACAATTATTTATTGCACTTATTAGCTGCTTTTTAAAAATGAAAAAATAAACTCAAGTAATGTATCAAAAAAGCACACACTGCACATTAAAACATAAAACTAAAAGAGAGTAAAAGCTAAAAACACATTCATAGTATAAAAAGGCAGGAAAAACACTAACACAAAGTGTTCAGAGCCTTAAAAGGGAAGGAACTGTGAGTTTCTTATAATCACTATGTTCAACAGGCCTATTCAAATTACAATCTACCACCATGCACACCCCGATTGGTGTAGCACCTAGCTAGCCTAAGGCAATTAGAGGTGAAAACAGATGTAAACGTTTTAAAGCAGTGATGGAGGCAGCTTGTAAGTCAGGTAGTCAATGAAACATAGAAGAGACAGGATTGACAGAAGATTCCACCTAAACATTAGGAAGAACTTCCTGACAGTAAGAGCTGTTCGACAGTGGAATTTGCTGCCAAGGAGTGTGGTGGAGTCTCCTTCTTTGGAGGTCTTTAAGCAGAGGCCTGACAACCATATGTCAGGAGTGCTCTGATGGTGTTTCCTGCTTGGCAGGGGGTTGGACTCGATGGCCCATGTGGTCTATTCCAACTCTATGATTCTATGACAGTGAAATCAGTATTTTCTAACTGATATATCTGTCATTGAAGTTGATGTGAGACCTGTGGACGATACTGTGTTGCACAAGAAAACTTCCACTAACACAATGGGACTTCTGCCCCTCTCCTACTTATCTGCTCAAGGGTCCCCAATCTTTTGCAGATTTTGGGGGTGCATAGAGGATTTCAGGGGATAGAAGGAAACTAATGGTGTCTGTTCTCTTGACAGAAGGCCATAGTTGTATTTCAACTGCCTGTCTTCACTATATAAATTGTCCCCTTGATAATAATTTTTGGTTGCACTGATTTAAACATTTGAATGTCGTCTGCAGTACAAAAATCAGAAACTATAATGGAGGGTCTCAAGGAGCTTCCAATCCTGGCAATCAATTTTATAGTGTGATCCCTGGAGTGCAAGCTCAGGATTCTGCAGCCAGCCAAGTCACTAACACTTACCAAGAAGAGGAAGGGCAAAGTGGCAAGGGAGGTCAGGACTGCATGGACACACTGGCAGAGAATCCAGCGCTCATGTCAATGTGCTCTCAAAATTCCAATCTCAGTGCCACCTCAGTGCTCCCCCTCATGGTAAGTAGAAGCAATGCTAATGCTATTGCTGCAGCTCTGTCTCACTGTGCCAACCACATCAACCATTGTGCCATCCTGTCTTAGACAATAAGGGCATGCCAATTGTAGGATGAAGTACACAGCACTTGGATCCATGCCCTATTCCTGTACGCATGGTGCCCTGAAGAAACCCCCTGCACACCTTCAATCTCATGTGCAGCCATGCTTGTGACTGGGATCTAGTTAGCTGTTTGGAATTGATGAACTGAAAATAGGTGTAAATTGCTTGACTGTTAAGACATTTCTGTTTTAACGCTGGCCACAGATTTACCTGGTATCTTCCCCATGTAAGAGAAAGAAGATAATTTAAAATGCAATGAAGAGTTGTGGTATTTGAGCCCTAAGAAAATCCTGGCGCTTGTGTGTGGTTAATAGGTCATGTAAAGAAATTCAAAACCAAACCTTCCCTCTTCACAACTCACCTCATCAACAGATTTAGAGGCATCTACTTTCCTAACTTTGCCCATTTTCTCATAGAGGTCTATTATGGGCTTGGTAGACTCTAGATACGTATGGATTCTAAGGGAAAGAAAGATACAGCAAAGTCATGAAATTGAAAAGCATGAGGAAGTCTAACACAGAAATTATGCATGGACACGGTACCTCTTTTCCAGACTTTCTCTGTTGTCATCACTTCTGCCACTGCTCTTTCCTCTTTCAAGGCAACGGTTAATACATACCTTCAAACAAAAATAAAAGGGTTATTGAAACATGAAGCCACTATCAAAACATGAAGCCACAAGAAGTAAACAAAATACTTTGCTTTTTTAAGGTACAAGACTAAAACTATGTATTAAACATTTTGCATGAATATATTCAGCTTACGTTTCATTACTTATGCTGTATATCGATAACACCACTTTGGGAAACTTTTAAGTGAAATAAGAACTTAGACCTTATTCCAGCCACGTGAAATCTAACATTTCACAATCAGTAGAACAGAAAGGCATCTCCAAAACGGACCTAGCATATTGTGGTAAAAGCCCTTGAAGTCTAATTATCCACTGAAATTCATTGTGCCAGGCAAAATTCAACACATATCCTGAACTATCGTTTATGTACAGCATTCAAGAATGTATGCAGTCTTTTATTTCCTAAAGAGAATACCCTATCTAATGCAAAGGACAAAGTGATTTTTCAAGATGACAGAACTGGGGGAAAGAGGTGGTTGATATAAGAATTAATTTTGCCTGAATACTGTAGAATATCAGTGCTCGCAAAGATTTCTTCACTGCTGGAAGCAAAAGAAAAAAAGATATCTCCCACTTTCTACAATTCTAATTGTGCTCTGGTAACCAATACTTCTTTCTGCTATGGGACAATTCAATAGAACTTTTCTTGAACATATCAGTTAATTGTAAATGCGAGACAATTTTGCCACAAAATTATCTAGGCTTATTGTGGGAAGGAACCAATTAACACATAATTAGTATCAAAATGTATAGAAGGGAAAATAGAAATGGAACAATGGAACATTTTTCATTGTCTCTCTTCATACAGCACAGAGGAAAGTTGCAAGTGTCTTGATATTGTGATTACCTCGTTGTCACAATCAAAAAAGAGGACAAACAATACATCTGCTTTTCCATCCATGGTTTTGTTCCAGCCCTGAAGATTGTCTTCATTTCTGGGAAATCCATCAATTAAGAATTTATTCTTCTGTGCATTGGCTTCCATAGTTTCATCCATAGCCTGATGGGTAACAGAGAGCTTATATTAAACATGATTTTCTACAAGCACGGTATTGTGACATCTAAGTAATAATCCCCCTGTACTACAAATACACATGTGCTTTTCATGTGAACTGTTACAGGTGTACCAAATACATTTCTTGCAACCTTAAAGTTAATTCCATACTATCTTAATACCAATATACTTATGGCACAACTGGAAAAGCATTTAAATGAACAAATGTCTAGCACAAAAATAAAATAGATGGGACATTCACACAGAAGGAAACAGGGGAGAGACAGTTTTCACTCATTCCTTGTTCACTCTGCAGCTTGGAGAGAAGATGTTCTGAAAGGCGGAGGATTTCATACATCAGAATAGGAGATGGCAGTGAGAGCTACAAGAGGGATGAAAGAGAATTGCTTCTCCCTTCCTTTTCTCCAAAGGGAGTCCTTGCAGGATCTCAGCCACTTCCATTCACAGAATGGCAACTCTGGATCCAATCACAGAATTGGGACTCTGCAATACCCCTGCAATACAGGTAAATGCAGCTGTCCCTTACAGGGATCGAACCTGCAACCTTGACATTATCAGCATCATGCTCTAGCCAAATGAATCCTAAATATATAGCCCATGTAGTCCAATTACTTGCAGCAACGGAGTACAGAATTTATTAATAAAAAACGTCCTTCGTAGATGAGTGATTTGCCTATCTCTGGGCTTCACAAACACACAAGACATAACCGGCTGTGCATTCACATAAACAATACTCTTCTATATATTCTTATCACAATAGCAAATGTTTGTCTTGCACGTAGACAACACATAAAGTGCAATAATATAGAAGGAAGCCCCAATGGATCAGTGCATTCATAAAGACCAAATATCTACTGGTTTCTGTTCCACATAGGGTTCTAGCAACCCTAAAGAGAAAAGCATTGTTTTTTATGAAAAACATACAGGTACAAAAGTAATTCATCAATTTGTCTTGCACAGCGGTGGGAAATCTCAGGCCTGGAGCCCTCCAGGCCTCTCTGCCTGGCACTTGGGCCTCTTCTTATTATTAGTTCCGCTCCACACACCCCTTGAGAATTCTTTTGCCTGACTGGAATGTCCTTGAACCATTATGTCATCTCTTGCTTGTTGGGATGGAGAGATGTGCTTAGAAACTTCTGACTTTCACATGTCTAAACGTACCTTACCCAACAAAGTTAAAAGTCACGTTAATTGCTCTGGACATTTTTTCCTCTGGACACGCCCACAAACAGCATGTGCCCCTCCCTTGAAGACTACCCACAAGGGAATGCAGCATTCAGGCTGAAAAAGCTCCCCCCCCCCCGGCCTTGCATGTTTTTGTTAGCTACTAACAAAGGGAAAGCAAATTTTTATCTAACCACATTTAAGTTTTGTTTTAAGCTGTTTTGTTTTGTTATAGCTCCCCATGGAAAACTGTATACTCAGCGCAGTGTTAAAAGCTTACCCTCTTTAACAAGCTGATGGTTATCTCAACAGGAACAATTTTTCCATCTTTAATGTAACTTTCAATGAGCTCTCCATACTGAGAGCCCGGTCTCTTCCTCTCATCTCGAAGCAGGTCACCTGCTGAGAGGTGTGTGTAACCGTATTTCTAAAAGAAAAATATACATTTAAGTATATTTTAATTAAGTATAAGCAACTTCTTAAATGAAATTGGTACGTATTCTTCTTTTTAAATGCACCACATGCATCACTAAAAGACAACATGCAATTCACATATGCATAGAACATTTTCCTTTAGGCTCCCTCACCAAAGTTTAATATGTAACTTTGTAAGAACTCTCACATTTGTTGGAGTTATTTCCTCCATGGAACTTTGCAGAAACCTATTAGTTAATATGTCTCCCATTTCCTCGACACCTTCACGTAATCAACAGGGTTTTAAAATACACTGAATTTCCCTTATAGCAAGCTCACTTGGACAAATGACTCACGATTCAACCCAGGTGCCAAGGAAAGCTGGCAATGTTAAGAATATAAGGGCAGCTCCATCAGATCAGACAAGGGACCTATCTAGACCAGTACAGTGGTACCTCGGGTTACATATGCTTCAGGTTACAAACTCCGCTAACCAGAAATAGTACCTCGGGTTAAGAACTTTGCTTCAGGATGAGAACAGAAATCGTGTGGCGGCGGCGCAGCAGCAGCAGGCCCCATTAGCTATAGTGGTGCTTCAGGTTAAGAACAGTTTCAAGTTAAGAACGCACCTCCAGAACGAATTAAGTACATAACCAGAGGTACCACTGTATCCTGCAACCCACAGTGGCCAGCCCACAAGTACAGCAGGAAGGGCAATATAGGCAACGACTGCTTTGCACAAGGGTTGTGTTCCTGACCCCCCTGCTGTTGGGTGAAGCACACATTAAGCCCGCCCCACTCCCTTTCCCAGCCACTTCCAGGTTGTGGGGATGCACATGTGCAAGGTCATGTGTCAATTGGACGTGCATCAATTGGCCTGTAAACCTCTCCAACATTGCTCTCCAGTGACCAGTATTCAGAAGCATTGTGCCTCTGAATTTGAAAGTAGCATGCAACAATCATAACTGTTAATAGCCATTGTTAACTTCTGAACAATTAACTGAAAATAAGGTTATCATTTTGTTACAAGTGTTATCAAATACAACTGTCACCTGAACAGAACCATTCCATCAAGCCGTAGCAGAAAAAGAGAAAGGATGCAAGGCAATGGAGAGCAGTAGATTTTGGTTTCTCCTCTTCCTGAACTGCTTCCATCCTAACTAATCATTATAGGAACTTGTAACTTAGAATGGTTATCCAAGCTTGCTTATTTTCTCCTTCCTTCCTTCCTTCCTCTCCATTTTCTTTTTCTGATGCATCTTTTACATTGCAAGCCTGAGGGCAGGAGTCTACCTTGCCTTGCTTTTACTGCTCTGTAAGCTACCTGGCTAAAGAGCAGGTTATGGGTGTGTGTGGGTGTAATTGCACCATAAGTTTCTGCTTGTTTATATAATTACTGTTTACTGCTCTGAATTTAGAACATTAATTTGGCTAGCACAATATGTAGATGTTACACCAACCCAACAGATGCCAAAGCAGGAACAATTTCATTGTATTCCTGTTCCACCAACAGAAGACTAAAATAAAGTTATGCTAGAAGACAACGTTAGGAATACTGTACACATTCACCTAAATCCTGGTGAAATTTATGTTACTTTGTAAAACATCAAGGTAAAATTTTGCATACTGATATCTCTCAAAGAATCCTAGTGGTGTGCTCCATAGCCTTACTATATATTTTAAACTAATGCTGTATATAAATATTAAGTCCGTTATTCCAAATATTACCTACAGAAGCTATAACCTAAATCAAAGCTTTTCATAAGAAGTTTTACCCTGAAAACCCTCACACCGGCATGCAGTATTTCTGTCTGCAGTTGAGGATTATGGTTTTAAAAACATTTTCTATAGAAGAGAACAGGCAGAAATAAATCTCTATTTGGCACCCATTTATGTATCTGTAAATCTAACCCACAACTCAGTTAGCATATTCTGACTTAACTGCTTTGTACAATACTTTTTAAAAAAAATCTTAAGATGCAATTTTATGTATACTTTCTTGAAAGCACTGCACTGAAATAAATGTGCTCTACTGCCTGTATAGAGCCATTTACTCCACTTCCAGAATTCACTATATTTGCAGAGAGTGCAACTGTAGACCTCAATTTTTACAACCACCCAGATAATTGTAATGTGGTGGCTGTATGATGTAATTGGATAAGTAAGGTAACAATCCTGTGACATACTGCTGTGCAACATTTAGGACAGGGCTGTAAATGTAGACAGGACTGAAATGAAAGATATGACATAGTTGTATATGGAAAGTCTTGTCCTTGCTTCACTTATTTCAAAATAGTGATGTCATCCAAAGCAGGGAACAGATCGTATTCCAAAGTGCAACCCTTTACTTTATCCTATATACATCAGAGTTTTTTCTGGTCATACCTATTCAGACAAGTAAATTACTGCACTTGAGGGCACTTTTGCAGCAAGGGCAAAATTGTGTTCTCTCCTTCATATACTGGATGGCAAAAATCCTCAGTTACGAGGATCTTAAAAGGCTAGGGTAAAATGTGTACTGCATTCCTTGCCTTGTAAGACAGCATTTTCTGGTCAGCATTTTGCCAATACAAATAATGGATCTTAGTGACGCAATGCAAGTAGTTTTACAGTTGGGAGCCACACCCAAGCTGTAAGTCATTACTAAGAATCATTGTGACATGTGACCTATGCCTTATTCCTTCCTTTGCTCATGACTGTATGTGGTAAAGATTACCATTAGTAGTACTGCAATGGTACTGAGGAACTAGTCAAAATCATATTTTTTGATTCAGTTGATTAAGTTGAAAGCTAAACTGAAGGATTAAGCACTGAGCCACAATGTATGCTTTCATCATCACCACAGATTACAGAAAAGGTTACATTCAGAGTGGAATAAGGTATTAGAACACATAACTCAACATGCATTTATACCATATATGACCTAATTGTTTTGCCAACTTTTGATTTCAGCATAAATTGGACTTTTAAGGTTTTATAGTGCCACAAAATTTGTGACTCATACCAACCCTTATTTTTAGCAAGTTATGTTTGTGGTCTCCAAGCCTGCAAATGAAACCCTGCCTGCCTCAAGAGAGAGAGGCTTAAGTAAACCACTCCTTGGTTCTTCCCAACAAGCTTTCTAAGCTTGTACCTGCCTCAACGTGTAACTGGAGCCTTGAAGTTGGACATGGTTTTACACCTTGATGTGAGTGTCTAGAACTTAGGGGCATACTTATATTACAAACTGAAGTCAGTTTAAACCCAACAGCATCTCCCAACGATTCTTAAGACCAGCAGCTTATTGATTATGAAGATTCTTTCAATTAGTTGGAAGCCATGAGAGTTGAATAGCTTGAACCATTCCCCAGTTAAAGAATGAATGCAAAGGTGCGCAAAATTGCTTTCCCTCCCTTTCCCCTCCAAACATAATATCTTCATAAGTTACTAACAGAAACAATCACGCCAGAGGTTTAGATGAGCATTGAACCCAAGCTTTTTCTAGCCCGCAACATAACCACCACCTCCTTCCATAAGCACCTGCTTAGTTACCGTGCCTGACTGTTGGAATACCTTCCCCTGAAGCATCCCTGAGACGTCTACAGCTTTTGCTTATCTATTTTTTGTTCTGTTGAAAAGAAAAGATTCTTTTATTATCACGTGTATCTTATAAGATCCGTTGCCCTGCTTACCGTGCAACTGCTATTTCTAGCTCCGAGCCTCAACACCAGACTCGTAGCATATTTGATCCCACCGGTATCAAGTCGGGTCCAAACCATTTGAGAATCTCGAGGGCCACAAGCCAAGTCGGTCACAACTACAACCCCCATCATCCTCTGGGCGCCGGTTGACAGGGACTAGGGCGCTTCTACGGGCGCGCTGCTTGCTAGGCATGGTAGTTCTATCGCGGAGGGAAGAAAGAGGGAGAAGAGACGAGGTGCCCTTTCCGTCCCTTACCTCCACAACGCGGGCGCACTGGGTCCCCTTTCCGGCGCCAGGCCCGCCGAGAACGAACACGACCACCGGCTTCATGAGGAGCAGCAAGCGAGGGGAAGGGGCGGAAGAAGCCAAGGACGCCGCCGCCGCGCCCAGCCGAGGAGCCGAGGGACCGACACGAGCCGCGGAAGCCAAGAGGCAGCGACAGAACATACGCCGGGGGGGAAGCGCCGCGCCGGCAGGGATGGTGGGCTCGCTAACTGTCCCGACGCCACCTCACTCCTCCGGCTGAGGTGGCTGCTGAGGTGTCACCGGGAAGGGAAAGCGCTTCCGGGTTCCCGCCCGGTCACTCTCGCTGCTGCTGCTGGGGGAGGGGCGACATGGCGGGCAAGGAGGGCGGGGCCAGGGGAGAGGGCGGGGCTACGCGCCTGTGCCCGCGCGGCGTCCCGTGAAGGGCTCCGGAGGTGAGGCTGTTTTAGACGGGGGTCGGGTCGCCTTGTCTAGGAGGGATCCTACGTGGATGAGGAGGGGACACTTTCAGGAACAACTAAAAAAGAAACAAAGAAACGCGTATGTGTGTACGCGCGCACACGCACACACATATACATATACATACACAGAGATAGACATCTATAAATACCTATTCTCGTTTGGAAGTATATATGGATTTATGCATGCGATACGCGCCCGAAAGGGGCTTCTTGTAGGTCTCTGTCCTTTCTGCGATTGCTTGCAAACTTTTGGCAGCAGAAATGCTACTATGCTGGCATTGTTTGGGAAGACAAAGCACCACCACGCCGAAGCATTGTGGGCCCCTCTCGCTTTTGTGGACAAGAGTCCACTTCCTCAGATGCATAACTAGTTGGCAGGTGAGAGTGTAGCAGAGGAAGCATCTTGCAACCGGGGATGACATATATCAGCTGAAAGTAGACCAGTCTGCAGATGATGTCACTAAACCTGTTCGTCTTTTAGGCGCCAAAATAACGTTTTTGCTGCGATGTATTTAGGCTTCCATCCTCTATCCGCTTACCAACTGAAAATAGGACTTCGCTCTGAATAAGGCATGCCGAGTAGTTCTACCAACGACCCTCGGAGGTACTTACTGGGGCGAATCCCCTGAAATATAGCGGCATTTACTTCCAAGAAAACGTATACAAGATTATATGTAAGCTTGACTTGAATAGACCCGCCCCCCAGCTATGTTTACCCAAGCACTTTCTGAAGCATCGCTCGAAGCTGTTATCACTAAGGTAACAAAAGGAATCACGCCCCTTCCTCTTTCCACTTTCAGACTCTGCGCTTGCGCAATGGCTCCCTAGCTGCGACCGTTTAAAACAAAGCCATGTTTTTTTAAATATCCCTCCCACAAGAGGTCCGCGCGCGCGCAACGGGCCTTAGTCTCATTTAGGGCTTTTGGATTGGTTACGGAGACCTGCTGGGCGGGCGCGACGGTTTTGATTGACGCGATGTCAGCGATTAATAGAAGGGGTCGCGAGCCACGATTGGCTGGGTGGACCTCGCGGGAGAAGGGATCGCTGATTGGCCGCCCGTGCCGCCATCGGAGCCGCCACAACAGGGAGGAGGTAGGAATTCGGTTACATCTTGGCCGCCGCGCCAGGCTCTCGAGCGCCGAGAGTGCGTTGGCGGCGCGTGGAAGAGGGGCTCTGGCGAGGAGTCGTGAGGTAGGTGGGGAACCGCTGCGCCTGAGCTGGGTGGCTTTTCTCTGCCCGCGTCGCCCGCCGTTTCCTTTCCGCCCCTTCGGTTCCCTGTGCGCTTCCCTCATAAGTAGCTCCCCCACCCGCGCCTGTCTATTAGACCAGGTGTTTCCCTTTTCAAATAAGTTGTCCGCCCCCCATCTTTAAAAACGCAGAACTGTGTCCACGAGCAAATCAGCGTTTCTGTCTCTTTCTGTCACAGCTTGTGGGCCTCGTGGACGTTCAATAGGTGAAGTCCCCTCGTCTCCCCACCTGCCCTCTGCCTGGCCGTGAGGTGCAGTAGGGACCGGGACGCGGAGGTTGGGTTGGGGGAAACATGGCTCAGATCCGTGTTTTTCAGTGTATCGCCTTGGGAAAAATCCCCCAACATCATCATCATCATTATTATTATTAGGTATAAACGGCTCACCGTTATGAAATAGCACAATAGTATACAAAAATAAGAATAAAAGCATATGCCAAGAATACTGGCAGTTGTAGCAGTGCACAACACCAGAAGGACTAGCAACATGGGTAGGCAAACTACCCAAACCTTGAATTAAATGGGTTTGGGAGGGGGCAGTCATAAAAATTGAGGCAGTTAATATTTGATATTAGGGTGATGTTGCCTACCACCCAGTTATATAAAATGCTCATAAATTAATATTCCTCTAATACTGATCACTTTTGATTATGAATTGGCTCAAAAAAAATGCCACTTTAGCCCATCTTTTGGTTGCTGGCTACCTATGAATTTAATAGGATTTCAATACCGGTAATTCACCACATTAAGCTGATGATTGCCAACTAGTATTTGACCTGTGGGGGATGGTTCTGGTGACCTGGTGGGAAGGAAATCTGAGAGAAGTGGTTTGAACTAGCATTGCTGTTTGCTTTCTTGAGTGCAGTGCTTCTTTCACTGGGCAAAATAGACAAAGCCCCCAAAGACCACTGAAGCACAATAAAAAGTGATGGTGATCTTAAAAAGTAGAAATCCTGGGCAGGCAGAAATGAGCAAGTCAGATGGATGGAGTTTTGACTACCAACTCTTGGGGAGTGTAGAATCATTCACCGCTGATTTTCAAATACAGATATCTTTCTATTCTGAAAGCAAACTTGTTTGCTTTAAACAAAAGTTTTTGTTTCATTAATTTTAAATTATGACTGTTAGTCACCTTAACTGTGATTTTGAGCAGTTGGAAGAAACAGTAGAACACAGTAGCAATAACTTATGCTGGGGAATGAGACGGTTATTGAATTTGTGCCTTTAAAATGGTGTTAGCCAATGTGCCCTCAGGATGCTGTTGGACTACAACTTCCATCAGCCCCAGCCAGAATGACTAGTACTAGTCATCAGGAATGATGGGACTTGTAATTCAGGAACACCTGGAGGGCACCACATTGACTACTTGTTATTTAAAAGTTCCATGGTCAATAATAGCCCTTCCACAAAATTGTGATAACCATGAGAGAGGTGTACTGTTCATCCACTGTGAGAACAGGATGTTGAACTAGATGGCCCATTGGCCTGATTCAGCAGGCTCTTATGTTTTTATGTACGTGGGTATTATGTACATGGGCATACCAGACCTAGCACTGGAATAATGTAAAAGTAAAACTTGAGAGCCAAGATACAACTATTTGACTAGAACAAAAATGTTGCTGGTAGGTTGCGGATTAGATGCTGCAAGTTAGACAATAAATAACTTCCCTTGATATATCAGAAATGGAGTATGCTAAAATACTGGTATCAGACATGATTACTTTGCGGTACTTAACTGTATCTTTTATCTTATTCGTGTTCTTGCATTTTCTCAGAGGGTGAAGTGATCAAACGGATGCTTAAAGCCTCATGGAACTAATTTCACCTGTGTCTCAAAACCAAAGGTATTATTGTAGAATTTTTGATCTCTTTCAATATGAATATGATTTACAGCCTGTCACATGAGGGATCCAAGTCACACGTCAGCAGCATTTCTTATTTGTTCAGGTGTTTTTATGTTTATTTCCTGAGGCCCTGATTCTGACTCAGTCACTATAAAGGCAAATAGAACAGAGTACCCTGAAGACGTTGAAAAGTATGGATAGCTAGAAATTGTATCACTGCTTGTTAATTATAATAGTTCAGTCCTAAATGTGTCACTGATATTTATTTTATTTTTATTTTTAAAGTTAGGTTCTGCCCTACCATCTAAGGAACCCAGGACAACATGATATGTCCAGTAGCTTGGCTTTGTTTATGTGTGTAACAGTAATATGTATCTGGTACATGTTTATTCCTGATACAGTCATACCTCGCGTTAAAGTAGCTTCAGGTTGAGTGTTTTCAGGTTGTGTTCCAGTGACCCGGAAGTAACAGAATGGGTTACTTCTGGGTTTCGCCGCTCATGCATGTGCAGACGCTCAAAATGATGTCATGCACAGAAGCGGTGAATTGTAACATGCGCAGACGTGGGTTGCGTTCTGGTCAGGATGCGAAGGGGGCTCCGGAACAGATCCCGTTCGCATCCAGAGGTACCACTGTAGTTGATATTACTTGCTGGTGTACTCCCTCCTCCTTTCCCCTCTACTACACCAGTTTGCCACTGTTGCTTGGGAAAACCAGAGGTGTGGGCTGTTTTCCTTGAGATAATCATATTGATATTCATTGACTGTGCCACATGTGTTTAAAGCCTTGCATGCACTTGTAGCAGTCCAGAGCTCTCTGCAAGTTAGCTCCCAGCCTGGCAGCATTTTCTGACATGACCATGTGGGCAACTCAGGAATTGTTGCTAGTGTGGAAGACAGCATGAGAGCGTTGCACTACTTAAACATAGTGTTTAAAGAAAATAATGCTCCCCTCAGGTAACTTGTAATGTAAAATAAGGCAAACACAACCCTCCACCCCACAAAAAAGGAGCAGAATTGTCCAAAGCTTTTCCCCATTGCACTGTTTTTGAGGACCTATTTGATTTCCTCAGCCCTTGAATGATTCTTTAAAAAGACTATTCAGCTCAGTCCTAGTATGCCCTGGAGTTTTAAGTTGAGTTTGTGTATAAAACATTCAGCACTGCTTACAACTGGGTTGAATTAAGCTGAAAGTGTTCTGTTTGAAATGGCTCCTTTTGCAAAATACCATAAAAGTAGTTAATGGGTGGTATTCAATTAAGTCAGAGTAAACCAATTGAAATTAATACACATAACTAATTTAGAGCCATTTCAGGAGGTCTACTCTGCATAAAAGTTAGGTGAATACCACCCACTGCTTTGCAATACATCTATTTAAAGAGAATATGAAAAACCTACATTTTCCATCTTAAAGGAGCACACTCCTACCATGTTTAGGGAAACTTTTAATGCTTGATGGATTACTGTGTTTTAATATTTTGTTGGAAGCTGCCCAGAGTGGCTGGGGAAGTCCAGCCAGATGGGTGGGGTATAAATAATAATTATTATTACAGTGGTGCCTCGAAGACGAAATTAATCGTTCCGTGAGTTCTCTTCGCTTTGCGGTTTTTTCGTTCTTGCGAAGCACGGCTATTAGCGGCTTAGCGGCTATTAAAGCGGCTTAGGCGGCTTTCCAGAAAAAGGAAACAAACCTCGCAAACGTTTCGTCTTGCGACAAGCAAGCCCATAGGGGAACTTCGTTTGCGGAAACGACGCAAAAAACGGAAAACCCTTTCGTCTAGCGAGTTTTTTCGTCTTGCGAGGCATTCGTCTTGCGGGGC